GTTGCATATTGCAGTTTCCTACTGCATCTTTGAAGCTCTACCATTGCAAGAAGTGAAAGTAAATTTCTTGGCTTCTCTGTGTCACTGACAATAAAATTGAGATTTAAAAAAATAGTTCATTATATTGGGTTTCTTAATATTGAGTTTCAGAGTTTTCTACCATAGTCTACTTTTAATTGCAAATGAAACTAAGCTTCCCACCATCTTGTATGTCTGGGACAGATTTGTCGTGTCTCACGTAGTCACTTGTGTGTTCCAGAACTCCTTTTTTTCTGTGGTATGTGTAATAAGGAAATAATAAACTTGACTGCAGAAGTCTAATGTATACTAATCTGGTTTTTTAAATTCAAAGATTAAGGGGTTTTTTCTTCATAATTTTTATCGTAGTGAATGTGAGAAATATGTTTAGCTCTAACTTTATACTGACAACTGTTGCCACCCATGTTTTCCTCACATATGTGCTTAATGTCACCCATGCTACACTGAAATAACCTTCAAGATGATCCAGACTTAATCAATGTGCTGACATAATGCTGTCAACCTTATCCTCAGGAAAGGTCATCTGCTAAATGAAGTGAGTGGGTTAGGGAATACAAACTGTGGCAGAAATGGGGGTTAGGATGTTTCTGTGTACTGTATAAAACATTATCTAAAGCTGTTTGTTTGCCTACAGAAATCAGATACCTAATTTCTAATTGATGGAAATCCCTGGATTTTAGCCATTTAAATAAATAAAACTGAGCCAGATGTGTTGTACTTTATGGTGTTCTGGGATATATTTAATGCATTAACGTGGCACTTGGTCTGCAGGACAAAAGTATGATGGAAATGAGAAGGAAAAAGATGAAGAGCATCCTTGTGTGCAGCAAGTGGGAAAGATCTGAGCTCCAACCCACCCAGAGAGTGCCCATCTCTCCCTGGAGCCCCAGAGGGAGCCTGGCTCTGGTGCTGGGGCACCCTCCCTGTGCCACTCAGCCACCAGGACCTTGCTGTCACCAGGCACTGCTGCTCCACGTGCTCCTGTCCCTGCTGGCTGAGGAGCTCCAAGGCTTGCAGCATCTCCACAGTGCTGAACCCAACAACTTTTCAGATCATTCATACTGGTGGGAGGAACTGAACTTGTAGAAGCAAAAAGATTGTGTGAAATTGTTGTGTTCCAGGAGATAAAAGGTTTTTGGATATTATTGCATGGATACAGTTCTCCCTATCTGATTCTGATCTCTTTCCTTTCCTAGAAATATTGTAGCAGTGGAAATATATTTATGAAAGCATTTTGCAGGACGTGCTCTAAAGTATGAACAATTTTTAGTGAAAGCATTAGGGAAAAAAAAAAGTTAAGGAGTCCCACCAGGATACCTATTCTGTAAGTTATAGGCTTCCTGTAAAAATCATCTTGAAAGCTTGAAGTACCTACATAAAAATTAAATTGATTCTGCTAATATAATGGGAATTCCACTCTAAGGCCTGGAATCAATTTTATTATTTCACTTGTTCATCAAAAGGAATTTTCTTTTTTTAAATAGCTGTATATAGTAATTACAGCATCACATTTCTGTCCCTTTCTTTGACCTACCCTACTCTGCCCAGTAAGGAGCCATTTGTACAACTTGAAGATGATTGTTTTTTGAGAATGTTGCCAATTTAATCTAAAAATCACTTGAATTTCACTGGAGTCAGAAAACTGTACATCCTCTTTGTATCCAAATCCTCAGAGCCTTAGGGGAAAAAGCCTTTGAAGTGGAATGTAAGAAGAATTTTAATGTTTTATGCAGAAAGACAGAGTTTAGAGGGGATGAGAAAGAAGAGAAAGAAACAAGTGTGATATGCATTTTTCCAGTTGCTCTGGCACACAAACTCTGGTTTTCCTACTCACCCTTATATCACCCCACTGGTTTCAGCACCTCATGCCTTATGTTCTCCTCAGCTTTAAACATCTCTGCAAATTCAAGGAAACACTTCTAACTTTCTCTTTCTGGCTATGTTTTTGAATGAATAAGTGAAGGCTGAAGTGGTACAGTGAAACAAGTTTGAGAGATCTGAAAGGCTTCCGATTTTCAAAATATGCTTTGAATGTTACTTAGGATTTTATAAGTAATTTTGCTGTGTAAATGTAAAACTGCTGAAGAAAATATTGAAAAAGGAGGGAGTAGTTGTTCTATGTTTAAAACTAAATTAAATACATAGATATTGCCATTAAAGGTATTCTACAGTCTATTTTACAAACAGGATTAATCACTGAATTTAATATTTCTTTGCAGCATTCCTCTCATTTTACAGGGCCTGTAAATGTCAAGTTCTTCTATGACCTACATTTATATAAATTAATGTATTATGGTTGCTAGCTAACGATGTTTTATATAGTTGTATTCAAAACTTTCTCCTGGGTATAGATATCATACATGGGTTCTCTCCTTTTATTTTGGGAAGGTACAATATTGTGAGTGGCTAGGCAAAGAAAATCCATTTTATAGCAGCAGGAGAAATTAAGTAGCTTGTTACTCATTGCCTACCTATGAGGCCATAGGTTTTTGTATATAGTTATGTACATTGGAATTTTTTCCCCAAAAATGCCATGTGTATAATGCAGCTCTGTTGTTCTACACCAGGTGTAGGCTGTTCACCTTGTAAATGGTTGCTTTTAAATAGTGTTTAAGTCCAGAATCTGCTGTAAACTGAGTTCTCATATGTTGTTTATTGGTGAGCAGAAGACAAATACCTCAGGTGATCAAAGTGGGGGGGTGCTCCCAGCTTTCACCAGTCTCCAGACCCACTCAGCAAAAATTTGGAGTAGCTGAGCAGTGCTTCATCATAACTGCATGGTCTCAGTGCTCAGAATCACAGATCCAGGTTGTAAGTAGAGCAGCAGTTATTTGGATAAGCTTCAGCAGCTGGGATTGGCATTCAGAGTTGCCACCAGGATGCTTTTGTCTCCTGTGCTCCTGGTCAGGGCTGAGGTGGCTCTCCTGAGCTCAGAGGTGATGCAGGATGTGTGCATGCGCTGCCCCAGCTCACACAAATTGCTGATGGTTCACAACAGAGAGAGGCTAGGGCATGGCCTCACAATCCTCCCCTTTTTTTAGGCACATTTTCACTGTTTTGCATGTTTGTCATTTCCCTCTCCCCCCCAAAAAAAAATCAACAGCTGCCTATGTTCAATCTCCAGGTGCTGCCATCGTGTCAGTAATGTGGAGCATTGAATTCCTGCACAGTGCACGCTGGAGAGGTGTAGATGTAAAATATCTCCTGGCTGTCATGTATAAACTGCAGCATTGTGAGACAGTGAATTCTGATAAATCCTGAGTTTTTCAGAAAAATCTGCTTCTTTTCTTCCATTGTATGGTGTTTCTGATAATTGTCTTGTGTCTAAATATTTTTGGTTTCAGTCAGTAATGTTACCGCTTTCGTTTTAGGTTGTTTGTATTAGAAGAATTTCCTATTTTTGACTTGTCTTGAATAGGCTGGAAAAAAATTGGTGCTTTTATAGTTTCTATGTGAAGGGGGTTTTATTTTATGTTGTATTAGTTGTTTGTTTTTCCTCTACAGTGCTTCATCATCTGTCATCCCTCAATGCATACAGGATGATAAACTCCCTGTCCCTGTTAATGGGAGTTGAGAATATTTTGCTTCTCTCAGGATTGGTGCCATATTACCAGGACAATGTATTGATTTGGGTGACTGCCAGTGTGTGATGCATGACAGAAATGAGAAATTGAACTTTCTGAACGTGAAGTAAATTGTGCTGATGATGATATATAAATGACTGAGGGAAAAGCAATCAATCAGATGCTCTCTGCTGGCAGCTGAGCTACATACAATTTAATATATAGTAAACCAACAGTTGTTTACAGTCTAAATCAAATAGTGTTCTGTGCTAAACTCATATTCTTGCAAAGATTACTTGGAACATTTCTGGGTTTAGTATGCTTTCCTTTCTGCTTTACCAACATGTGGTGTTTGGTAATTTAGAAATATTGAACTGACTCTATTAATTCTTGTTTTTTCTTGTCAAGAAGCACAGGTTTTTTTTCTAGACTGCTTATTACTACTTTAAATTGGTTGATCTTTAAATAATTTTAACTTGTAAGTAGAGTTGTTTTGAGTCCCAGATACCTGCAGAAGGAGTTTATTATAGCTGCAGGTAATTGGACTTTACTGTAAAACATCCACTAGAGACATGAATAGGCCCATTCTCTCTTTTGGCAGATGTTTTGCAGATATTAGACTTATATCCAATTATCTTTGGGTGCTTTGCAGCACACAAGAGCATTCATGTGCAGATGACTGTAATATTCTTTGCTCTCCTTCTCCACACTCTGAAATGAATGGGATAATTTATCCTTTTTGGAAAGAGAAGTATTTTAATGAAAGCTTCAAGAGACTTCCTGAAATTCTCCTTATTAATTAATAAGTCCTGTCATTCTGGATCTGTCTCAGGTTATCATTTGCCCAATGTAAGACCCTTCAGTAGTAGGGAATTCTGCTCAGTTCTCCCCAAAGCCACCCAGAGCTGCAGAGTTTGGAATCTTCAGTTTGAACTTTGGGGTGGGATTTTCCAAAGATTCCTCTCTCCTAAGATGTTGTCAGTGTTTGCTTCGTGTTAAGGCTGTGAGAATCCAGGGAGAAGCTGAACCACAAATTCCTGGAGGAGGGTAGAGCTGAAGCATTTGGCCATCAGCTGGAATGTAAATCCTGGAGGTCTCTACCTTAAGCTGATGTACAGTTGCTCTCTAGAGATGGGATATGTGTAGTCTTAATTTAGTTTTAAAGGTCTGTTTTGTTAATACATTCATGTAATATATCTTTTAAAAAAATACAAAAGCCAACAAATATTAAAATGTACCTAGGATTGCCTTTTGAAGTTATGTTTGGAATGACCTGCATCTGTATGTTTATAAATGGCTCAATTTTAGAAATAGATTTCATATGTTTTGAGTAAATGAGCTGTTCCCCATGATGTCAGAAGAGATTTGTATCTCACTTGTTTATTCCTGTTTTTATAGATGGCTATACAACAGATGACATTGAGTTTTACTGGCGTGGGGGTGATAATGCAGTCACAGGAGTGACAAAAATCGAGCTGCCACAGTTCTCCATTGTGGACTACAAGCTTATCACCAAGAATGTTGTTTTCTCTACAGGTTTGTGGAGGGGAACTTAAAAGGGGAATTCTTTTAAAGACTTTTAAAACTGGATTAATTCTTAGTGTGCTGTTGAGGAGCAAAACTTTTAGAAACAGGAATAAAATAGAGCAGCAGCTGTGAATTTGGAAAGCAGAGGTTTTATTACAGTTTCCATAGTGTATAAGGCACCACTCATTAACATGTGTAATCTGTCATGTTAAGGCTCAGCAAATGAGCTGTATTTTTTGTTTACCCATGAAAACTGATGAAGCCACTTGTACACCTCTGCTCCCCAACATGTAGGAAATTTAGGAACCTTTTTCTCCATATTTTTAGATGTTTCTTTTGCCATGTTCGGGATGTATTAGACTAATTACTTTGTCTTCAATATAAAATCTTTAAAATGCTTGTTTCAGGATTTCTGGTTTAGCCTATTCTAGCAAGTGCATAACATTCTGAAGGCTGAAAAGATGCTTTCTGAGAAGGAGGAGAAAATCAGATTGCATTTCATGAAATAAAAATAATAATAATTAAAAAAACCCTAACATATTTCAATGACATTAAATTGTTCAAGGGAGGCAAGAGTTGAATTGGGCTGTTACTAGGAGGTGTTTTCTACCTATTTGAGAAACCCATTAAGTGTGTTAAAAAAATATCTTCAAAACTCACTGTTCAGATATGGGTAGAAATCACCTTTGGAGGGACTATAGAATAATTGTACATTGAAAATTCTTCAAAATCAAGGAGAAATGGGACTTGAAGAATGATTTCTAGGCACTCATATTAACAATTGTTTCAAGCACTACAATATTTCTGATGTCCAGTGACAAGAGAGGAGTGTTGCATTTCTTGGAGAGACGTTTAGGATCAGGGTTGCACTGAAGCTGGCATATGAGAGTTTGTCAGGGAAGAGGAATTTCTGTGCTTTGTTGCTCTGATTTGTATTTTGGCTGTTGATTGTTGAATGTTATGATTACCAGCAGATAAGCAACTAGAGCATGTTTGTACCCTCAGCATAAAAGATTATTTAATCCCAATTCTTGCTAGAAATTCTGCCGCTGAATATCCTGGATCTTTCAGCTCTGAATGTACTCTACGTCAAATGAAAAAATAAAACAAAAATGACAGAAAAAAAAATGTTTTCAGGCATTATACAAATAAATTATGGCCATACCAAATATTCTCTTTTAGGTGCCTACCCAAGGCTGTCTCTCAGCTTTAAACTTAAGAGAAACATTGGTTACTTCATTCTGCAGACCTACATGCCTTCTATTCTGATCACTATCCTGTCCTGGGTTTCCTTCTGGATTAATTATGATGCTTCAGCTGCAAGAGTTGCTTTAGGTAGGCATTTTTACACATCTCATGCAGTGTGCATTAGCTGAATGGTTTTTCTAGCTTCTGGCTGAGTGGATAGTGCATGATTTGCAAATAAAAAATATATGTGTTAGATCTTTTTATGTGTGGCTTGTTAAGCTTTGTGTTATTTGAATATTATTCAGCATTTAAAACATCAGAATTTATATAAAAATTAAAGTGATTTCATGTCTGAATCAGCCAACTTTATAATCATTGTAATCAAAATTAGCTCAACATATTCTGTTGTTCTTTTGATGCTTGTTTTTTCTCTGAAAAGAATGCACTTAGTTTGCTTTTGCCCATAGCAGTCCAGAACACACGTTCAGCATTGTGTTATGGATTATAAATTGCTTTTCCTTTCAGGAATTAAATAAAGTTTTACTAGGTTTGCATAGTTCACTTGTCCTTATGTTGAGGGAGGAGGCTGTGCCTCAAATCCAGTTCCTGGCTCCTGGAGACAGGACACACATTGAGGGGCTGGGATGTGTCCAGAGAAGGGCAACAGAGCTGGGGAAGTGCTCCAGGAGAGCTGGAGAGGAACTTGGCACAAAGGGGAATATCTTTAAACTGACAGCTGAGGACTGAGGATTTAGTTTAGATGTCCTGGAGCACAGGACTGATGAGGAGCAGCTGGGGGAGCTCAGCCTGGAGAAAAGGAGGCTCAGGGGGGACCTTCTTGCCCCCTAAAACTCCCTGGCAGAGAGGTGCAGCCAGCTGAGGGTTGGTGTCTTCTGCCAAGTGAAAGAACAAGAGGAAATGGGCTCGAGTTATGCCAGGGGAGGTTTAGATTAGATCCTAGGAGAAATTTCTTCACCAAAAAGATTTCTAGCCTTGGCAGAGGCTGTTTTGGAAAGTGGTGGAGTTACCATCCATGAAGGGATTTAAAAGATTTGAAGACTTGGTGCCTGGGGAACATGGTTTAGTGGTGGATGTGGCAGTTCTGAGTTAAAAATTGCATTCAATTAACTTAAAGGTCTTTTCCAACCTAAATTATTGCACGAGTCTGATTATTTTTTCCCTACTGCTACCTTAGGTTCCAAAGCAAAACTGTTTCCCTAATTAATCTCTAGAGTATTTGTCTATCTCATCACTAGGCCTATGTGTATCTGTTTATTCTGTGCCCCTCATCATAAGGACCATGTTCCAAAAATAAGTATATCCGTTGCCAAGTTTTGTCAAAATCAGACTGATTCCTGCCAGTACAGTTCTTGTATAGCTAAAATAAGTAAAACCCCATAAAAGATGCCATTGAAAATTTGACATTTTAATGTTATAGAATACATCTGAGTTTTACCAGACCTTTCTGTGTAGCATTTTACCTTAAGAATATCAGACTGCAGGCATCCTGAAAATGTGGAGGAAAGAAAGATAAAGCAATTTTAGCCTGTAATTTTCAACTGAGACTCATTACAGAAAGTTGCAGTTTATCTGGTTAAAAATACACTTATGGAATCCAACTACTGTTTGCTTGACTGAGCTCAATTTATTGCAGGTGTAATGTTTTTTATGCTATGCAAAAAATCCAAGTCCAAGATAAGGACTGAACAAGATGTCCCTGAAAAAATTCAAACACAAAAGGAAACCTACAGAGGGTGGTGGCAAGGTCAGGTAGCCTGTGAAAAATGCACAAAAAAAATCTGAGCAGCCAGGGATCAGGTTAGGTAAGCTAAAGCCCTGAGACAGAACTAAATCTGTCCAGGGACATCAAAGGCAACAAGAAAAGCTTCTGTATAGGTACATCAGTGCTAAAAGGTGATGAGGGAAAATGGGAGTCCTCTCTGAAAGGAAACAGGAGGCCTGGATAGCCAGGATCTGAAGAAGACTGAGGTGCTGAGCACCTTTTTAATGCCTTGCTCTCATGGACATGTGCTCCAGACACATTGCCCAGCTGCAGAAGGCAAAGGCTGGCACTGGGAGAATGAAGAATCACCTGCTTAAGAGAACTTGTTGGAGACCATCTAAGGAACGTGGGGATCCCAAGCACAAAGTCCATGGGACCTGATGAGATGCATCCACAGGGCCTGAGGGAGCTGGGAAATTGGCTGAAACTCTGTACATCATATTTGAGAAGCCATGGCAGTCTGGTGAAGTTTCACTGACTAAAAAAGTGGAAGCAAAGGCCCTAATTTTTAAGAGGGGGAAAAAAGAAGACTTGGGGAACTACAGAATTGTCAGTCTCACGTTGGTGCCTGTTAAGGTCATGGAGCAGATCCTCCTGACAACTGTGCTAAGGCACATGGAAACCAGGGAGGTGATGGATGAGAGCCAACCTGGCTTCACTAAGGGCAAGGTGGGCCTGACAGAGTTTGTGACCATCTACAGCAGGGTCCCAGCCCTGGTGGGATGAGGGAAGAGCAACTGCTGTCATCTACCTGGACTTGTGCAAAGCATCTGGCACTATTATGCTAGAGATCCTTGTCTCTAAGCTGAAGAGTCATGGATTTGTTGGATGGACCACTCAGTGGATAAGGAATTGGCTGGATGGTTGCACTCAAATAGTTGCAGTCAACAGTTTGATGTCCAAGTGGAGATGAGTGACAAGTGTCCTCAGGGGTCTGTGCTGGGATTGTGCTGCTCTAACATCTTGGTCAGCAACATGGACAGTGGGATTGAGGGTGTCCTTGGCAAGTTCCTGAGCTGTGTGGTGTTGCCCACATACTGGAGGGAAGAGATGCCATCCAGAGGAGCATTAAAAAGCTGGAGAAATGTCACAAAGATAATTGTGTGACTAGAGCACCACTCTCCATGAAGACAGGGAGTTGGAATTGTTCAGCCTGGAGCAGAGAAGGCTCCAGGGAGACCTTAGGGCACCTTTGAGAGCCTAAAAGTGCTCCAAGAGAGCTGGAGAGGAACTTGGCACAAAGGGGAATGTCTTTAAACTGACAGCTGAGGACTGAGGATTTAGTTTAGATCTTAGGAAGAAATTCTTCTCTGTGAGTGTAGTGAGACAGGGGATCAGTTGCCTGGAGCTGGGGCATCCCTGTCCCTGGAAACATTCAAGGCCAGGGTGGATGGGGTTGTGAGCAACCTGGTCTAGTGGAAGGATCCCTGCCCATGGTACTAGATGGTTTTGAAGAGCCCTTCCAACCCAAACCTTTCTAGGATTCTATTAATATGGACAATGGTTAGAGATATCTTTTGTCCACCAGGGGAAAAAAAGCATTTTTCAACTCCAGCATTTGAATAGTAGAAATTATTATTCTAGAAAATAAGTTACAATTATTTCAATCACTAGACTTCTCAATTCTTTTTTCCAGGAATCACAACTGTGCTCACAATGACAACAATTAACACCCATCTTCGAGAGACTCTTCCCAAAATTCCATATGTGAAAGCCATTGATATGTACCTTATGGGATGTTTTGTCTTCGTTTTCATGGCTCTGCTGGAGTATGCATTGGTCAACTACATCTTCTTTGGCAGGGGACCTCAGCGCCAAAAGAAAGCAGCAGAAAAAGCTGCCAGTGCCAACAATGAGAAGTTGAGAATGGATGTCAATAAGGTAAACTGTAATGGGGATACATTTTTAGCATTTTCCCCGGAAGACAGGCTCTCACTTCTGTCAGACAGTGCTTTAAAATGTAATTTCTTGTAGAAAATGAGTGGAGTGGAATTATGATGACCTTGTCTTAGCTCTGCAGAGCAGTGTGCTTAGGCACCTCAGCAATGAATGCTGTCCTCCAGCCTGGGAAGCTGAATGCCTTGTTTCTAAAGCATGCAGTCAGTGAAGTTTTACTGAGGTGTTTTCTTAGTCAGAATGTAGACTTGAATATGTACAACCTGTTTCCAAAGGAATAAATCCAAAATGATGGCTGTATATTCTAGTAAGAGCTGTATGGAACATTGGAACTAAAATCTAAATTTAACCTGCTTTCATAAATCTTTCAGATGAGCTGGATAAGAAATATTTGCCACAGAAGTGTTTAAAGTTTGAGAAGTTTGCATATTTTCCATGTCTAATGGGCCAGAATACTATTGACTAAATGAGGAGCTTCTCAGAAATAAACCATCAATGTGCTGTGTACTTAATTTTGAATCTAAAAGTAGCCCCCTGGGGATGGAGAATTGAGGCAGAAAAGGTATTTGCCAAGATACACACTTCTGGGAAAAGTATCCATTATGCTTAATGAAAATGGGGCACTTATCATAAAGCACTTGTAATTTATCACTTTGACCATTTTGGAATGAATTTCACACAGTGGCAAATCTGTGCTGAATGCAAAAATATTCTCAGTCTAAACTGTATAAACTTTCACACACATGCGAAGTTGGAAAGTTAAATAAGGCTGAATTATCTTTGGGGGTTTGGGGGCTTTTTGGAGGGGTGAGAGGGTTGTGGGATTTTTTTTTTTTTTGTCAGGGGAAGCTCAGTGAGTTGTAATTCATCATGACCAAGGAGAAAAAAAACTGAAGGCAAAGTCTTAAAAAAAAAAAATCTGTCTTAGAAAAAAACAAGGGATTATTTGTAAATTGGAAACTTAAGTTTCATACAGCTCTAATAGTGAAATTTCTAATGTTTGTTCAGAACCTCTACACACATAGTGGGTCTGCAGACAGAAAAAATTTTTATTCCAAAAATCCATCACATATTGATAGCACAAAATAGTTTTTTAGATTATAGCTTATAGTCTTTTAAGGAGAGTTATATCACCATGGTTCATAGCTCACCTATTTTTTTTTCTTTTTGCTTGGAGAGAAACATATTACAATGAATGAAGGCATACTCATAATGATGGGTTTAATTTTGATGTTATGTTACATATATCATCTTTTAGCATTATAAAGTTCATGAAGACACTGTAACATGTTTTTATTTCTATTTGTGATTTTTCAGCAATGAAAAAATCTGTGAGATTTTATTTAAGCTGTTAGGGTTTTTTTTTTCCTTTTTTTAAATTAAATTTCACTTTTAAGGTGCTATAAACTACCCTGTAAGCAATTTTGCAAGATTAGACTTGCATTTACCAGAAGTCTTTCCTCTAACATCAATGGAAATTTAAGATCCATAGGTGTCAGAGTGCCACCAATAGCTGAGGTATATTTCTGTGCACTTTGCTTCCCTTGTGGTGTTCTCAACATTCTTGTTCATACAACAGACCTTTCAGCTGTGTAACAGAATAGCCAAACCCAGTGGCAAATTGCTGATCATGAAGCAGAATTTGAAAGCATAGCTGGTGTGTTAATCCAATTCACTAGGCAGAGTAAATTAATTTCAATAACTGTTGAAGAACTCTGCCAGCTTACAGGATTGGCACAAGGTATGCTGTGGAACACAAGGAACAATTTTACATGATTTTTACTTTTTTCATAGTGAGCCTTTCAGTTACCATTCTGGGCCAGCATGGTGAACAGTCTCTGTCAGTTCTGCTCTGGTACCCAGATCCACTCTGATCTGGTAATCAGGTCTGCAATCCTTTAAGCAATAGGCAGGGAATCAAATAGGAGAGGATCAGAGAACCTGTCCTGCTGTACAGACTGCTCTGGGGAGAAGGAAAGGAGCTGACAGCTGCTCTTGTTGTTTGACCAGCAGCGAGAAAACATATTAATATTTAATGGACCTGAATATTTTATCTATTAAAAGGAGATAAATATTATGTAATTATTTTCATTTGTAAGAATCAAAAAGGGGTCTGAACTGCTGAAATTAGTTCAGAAACAGTTTTTTCATAAAAATCAACATGTTTTAGAAATGGGATCACACACTCCATCTTTAACTAGGCTCCAATAGGGAAGGACTGATTTTACAAGGTATGTGTTCTTTTGTGATACTACTAAATTGCTCTTGAATCACTTTGTGCAATATTATGAATTCATAAGAATCAGATACTATACAAGAGAAGATTGATGCCATGAGGAATAAACCTCACAATATAAGGATGAAAACTTCTACACAAAACTGTTGCTGCATTCAGCATTGACACTGTAAAAGAGGTGGATAAATAGTTATTGGAGTGCTGTTTGTAGTGCAGCATCTCTGCTTATACTTTAGAGACCAGAAAATCTGTAATGGTTTTCTTGCAATTCCAACACTCTTATTTAGTAACAATCTCATAAAACTTTCAATCAACAGAATGTGGTGAGAGGAGAAGTGCTGATCAGTCCTCTGATCCACAACTCTGCTTGCAAAATCAAAGGAGAAGTTAATTCATGCTCTCTTTATGCTGTTGAATTCTCTTCCATGGACAGATGCAGGGTGGATACAGGCACTGGTAATCTCTCTATTTTTGTTTGGTGTTATCCCAAAGATACCAGGGAGCCTACAACACAGCGTGCAAGGGAAGTTTTTTTCCCATGGCTGTGGTATCTGCTGAATCCATTGCAATCTCTTGGAGATTGGGTGACTCAGGTGTCCTTGTTTTTTCCATTTGAGTGAACTTCATCAGGCTGGCTGCAGAGCTTCCCCAGGGTTATTCCAGATGAAAGTGTGGCCACATCTCTCTTTAAATTTCGCATCATATTCTTTTCATATACAAAATCTGGTAGTTTGGGGTTTCTTCTGTCTTTTTTTTTTAAATCATGGAATAGTTTGAGTCGGAAGGGACCTTTAAAGGTCACTCCAACCTCATTTTAATGAGCAGAGCCATCTTCAGCTAGATCAGGTAGCTCAGGGCACCATCCAATGTGACCTTGGATCCCTGTTTCCAGGGATGGGGCATCCACCACCTCTCTGGGCAACCTCTTCTGCTGTTTCATCACTCTTATTTAAAAAAGTTCTTCCATATATCTAGTCTGAATCATCACAGAGGATATATTCCATTTTCAAAGATTGTTGATCCTGTTTGTGGTAATGGAAAGATAGGGAAGGAATTGGGCCTGTATTTGATTTGCTTCTTGGATACTGAAATCTGAGTAATAAAATCATGTAGAAATTTAAAAAACATAAAACTCAAGGCAGATTCAGACTCGGTTACCAGCAGATACATTGCCACACACTTGTTAAATCATATGGGACTTGCTTGATTTTCTTTGCAGTGAGTTCAGATAAAAATGGCTGAATCATCATTTCATTCTTGAAACTTCTCAGGCTGCATTTAGTAGTTTGTTCCTTTAGTCTAACCCATCATCTTTTGCCTTGTCAAGACTAGTTGTACTTTCTTTAAACAATCTGTTGTTGCTTGTAGGTAAACCACTGGCTTTTTTCTTTCTTTAGGCATCCTTCATTTATTTGAGATAGCATTCACATAATTTCCTCACATCTCTTTTCAGGTTTTCCATCTTATGTCTTGAAATGCCTTTCTTGCCTTGGTAGTCTCAAGTTTCTTAGTCTCTTCTGATTGACAAAATACTACAAGTGTACATAAGGATAGGTACACTGGGAGTGTCCTATGACTGCTTGAGGACCTAGCATGTCATAAAGTATGGTTTATATACTCTAAGCCATTGTTATGTCTTTTTATTCTGTGAACTTTTGTGTTTAAGAATGTTGATGGTCATCAGTGTCCTTTTGATCCTTTGCATTTCATGAATCTTTATGCCAATATTGTCTGTGCTTCTTCAAGATGAATAAGATACATTAAAATACAGGGCCAAATTCCAGCCTCTGACTTCCCAATATCATTCACCTGTCTTCCTATGTACATGCATCTGGGACATGTTATCCCTTCTATTTTAAGATAATGTACCAAAGGCTTTACTGAAATCCATAAATCAAATCTCCTCATACAAATGGTCTAGAAAGATTTGGTCTAGAAGCCTCTGTGACCCTGGTTTTTCTTTTCATTGCAGGTTTTTTTTTCTTGTTTCCTTTTGGGATAGAAGGGGGCTAGGGGAGGGGAAACAAGCCACTGTCATAAAATTTTTCGGGTTTTCTCCCTGTGAAGTTTGGCTTTGTCTCCAAGAAGGTGATTCACCAAAGCACAGTTCCAGTGTAGAGCCTGGTACAGCTGAAAATGATTTCTTACGCAGACCCCCACCCATTTTAATAAGTTTCATTTCTGTTATGAGAGCTCAGATAATTAGTTTCTTGGTGCTCTCTCAGAGCTGATTTATTCCCCTTAAATTTTTTCCAGCATCTAGGAGCTAAGGCTTTTTTGGTTAATTTTTAAATGTACTCTTAATTTGTTGCTTCTAATAATTTTATCTTGGATGTTTCCATCTTGGAACTCTATTTAGATGGGCTTGCTGATGCTGACCATTGTGATGAGTCTGATATATCTTCTAGACATTTGCTCTCTGATCACCTGCCAAGTTCTATATTTTCCGTGTGTTTTCCTGTGTTACTAAATTTCCTGTCAGCCAGCTGACCAATTGTCAATTTGTCTATTGGATTCTACTGCTGTTTTTTCTGCAGTTGCTCATCTGACTCATTTGATCCAAACTACTATGTACATGAATTGACTACTCTTGAGACGTAAGTAGGGTGAAAATGCTTTTCAATATCAATTAAATCTATATCTGTTATTCTGGATAGATCAGAAAACCTTCGTTAGAGTGGTAAAACCAGGACTGTCACTTTAAAGACCGTGGTAAATGAAAGGCTGACTGTTCTTCCTCTGTAAAGAA